CCAGCCCGGGATGTGGCTCGTAGCCGGTCTCGACTGAGACTGCCCATACTGCGGAGAGCCGTACACCTCGGAGCGCGCTCTCTTCGCGGGTCTCTCGTCGTAAGGATATATGGGCTCCCTGGGGGAGGCGTGTACGGGGGCGCGCTCGCCGATCGGGTAAGGGAGGGTCGCGGGCGACGTCGCTGGGTGTGAAGCATGGCGCGAAAAGTCAGCGTAGGGCAGGTTTGTGTGCTGCCTGGTGACAGCGACATCTGCGAGGGCCTCAATGGGCGATGCCTGCGCCAGAGAATACTGCGGCGGCGGAGGTGCGGAGCGCGACGAGTGCCCGTACGTCACCGCCGGCGACGACTGCTCCGCGGACGCGCGCGCGCCCTCTCTGAGAGTGAAAGCATTGTGCGGAGCATCATTGATATGCCGTGTGCCTGATAGCGACGCGGTTGGGATATTCGCATTGCCGGCGGGGTGCGCCGTCGAGGGCTCCGTGGGCGGCAGGATGGGCGACAGCGGCTCGTAGGCGGGCGGCGGAGGTGTAGGGGCGCGCGCCGAAGCTCGCCTGTACTGCTCCTTGAAGGACGAGAGGCGCCTCATGGTGGTCGTGGGTGCGGAGGTGGATGGACTGGGGCTTCGGAGGTGCGAGGTACTCGCCGGTTTGGCGTCTCAGACAGATGCGCGGCTATGGAGCACCAGCACTATCAGCGGAGAGACGGGCGGAGTAGGAGCCGGGCATGGGCATGTCCTGCGGCGAGGCGACGGTGGGCGCGGTCGCGGATGAACGAGCGTAGGGGGAGGTTCGGGAGCAGAATGATGGTGGTGGAGAAGTCGGCGGGGATTGTATTGGGAATGTTGCGACCACGACCAGCACAATCCAACCACGACTCGGCCACGCCAGCGCCGACGACACTCTCAGGGCGCGATAGGTAGGCGAGGATGCGGCGGCTTCACAGAGAGCTCTAAGCGCATGTGTCCGTCGTGTGCAGATGGTAGGCCGTTGCAGGAGCTCTGGGGAGGAGACAAGCCGCTTCATTCGCTGCAAGTCCGCGTCTCCGATTCGAGCGCTCGATTCTACAGCAAGGAGTGCACCCATCACCATATCACCTTGCTGTGAGACATCTATATTCCAGTGCATGTCCATAATCACTAGACGCTAGATTTCCCATTTCACAGCCTCTCGTTTGCGGCGCATGTGCATCGTCATCTCGGTGCTGCATGAGTCGCTGTTCTTGGTATGCGTCCGCCACGTGATGCAGCTCGGCGCTCGGACGTGCACGCCATCCACGATTGATCCCGCATGTTCACCAACTTCACTTCTCGCTACAACCTCCCCACCGCCCGCCGCCCATTACAAACCTCGCAGCCCGTCCTTTACCGTTCATCACAGTCGCCAAAGTATGAGTCGAGGAGGAAAATTGGCCCCGGAAGTCAACCGGTACGTCCGCTATGCCGCATCGCGTGCCAGTCGCAAGGCCGATGCGACCAACTCACACGACATCTGCGCTAACATGTCATGTCTACAGAGCTCTCTTCGTAAAGAACCTGAGGTTAGTAGATGCCCGAGGTATCTTATCTGCCACGCGCTAATCCTCCTCCAGCTTCAACGTCACCCCAGAGGAACTCTTCGACCTCTTTGGCAAGTTCGGCCCAGTGCGGTACGTCGTCTCCCTCATGCGCTGGCGCATCTTGGCCTTCACCGTCACTCCAGGTTACTGACGTTAGCACAGCCAAATTCGCCAGGGCATCGCCAACAACACCAAGGGCACAGCCTTCGTCGTCTATGAAGACGTAATGGACGCAAAGTCGGCCTGCGACAAGCTCAACGGCTTCAACTTCCAGAACCGGTATCTCGTTGGTACGTAGCAGGCGCTTCCTCAACACTGCAATCACTAACAGCAGCAGTATTATATCACCAGCCAGATAAGATGCTCAAGGCCGCAAATGATCTCGCCGAGCGCCAAGAGAACTTAGAAAAGCTCAAAAAACAACACGGTATTGATTAGGGGTGCGCGAGGACTCAGGAACAGGTGACATCGCGCGAGCGAAGTAAAGACAAAACTCCTGAGGGCCTCAAGACCGATAGCGTAATCTCTAGAAGCTCTTCGAGCCGCGGCGGCGACACGCGTACCTCGACGACCGATTCGATTTCAGCGGAAAAGACCGGCGCTCCTTCCCCGACGACTACACCCGCCTGCCGTAGCTGCGACTGGCGTACTGTAAAACGATCGTTGAAGGGTATATTCAAGTCGGCACACGGCGTTAAGAGGTCATGAAACGTTCACGAACCATGACAGATTGCTGCATTTTCTTGGAGTGGGATTTTACTTAGGATAGCTGGTGATGCATAGGGCTATAACAGACTGCAACAGGCCCCGGCTTCTTCTACAGCGGGCAGTCGGTACTCATCCGACTAGGAATCAAGGACTTCTGGTTCCAGCAATTGCATATGACGCAGTGACATGCTGACATTGATTTCTGAAGGTAACTTCCTCAAGGTCCTTCGCACCTTCCACATTCGGCTGCATCACGGGACTAGAACCGCCATCTGGCCGAGCTCGTGGTTTTCGCCAACCCAGTCGAAGCCTCTCTCAAAGTCGTCCATCTTGAACCCCGTCACCGAATCAAAACCTCTCTCTTTTCCAAGTTTCAACACTCCCGCTTCGGCCATCTTGATCATTTCCTTCACATCTTGACCCCGGTACATGGCATGACCATGAACCGTGATACTCTTAAACACGATATCCATCATCGGAATCTCCACATCCTTCATCGCGCCGCCACCAAAGCCCATGATACACGCTCGTCCGTACTGCTTGAGCGCGCCAAAAGCAGCACGAACATGTGTACTCCCCTCCGCTCCCATGGGCGTGAACTCGAGAAACGCATCCACGGTGCCATGCTTCTGCAGATTCTTAACATCGACCTCGACGTCGTTCGTTCTCAGGACACTTGAAACAAGCTTCGGATGCGCATCCACCAGCCGCCGAAGCGCGCGCTCATTCCTTCCCGTCACCAAAACAGTCGCTCCCATCGCAACCGCCACGCCCACAGCAGCACCTGAGAAAAGCCCCGTAGCAGGCGTAACAACCAGTCTCTCCCCGGGCCTCAGCCCAATCCCCTTCAGGCCACTATACGCTACAACATCAACACTGAGCTGCACCAACTCCGGTATCGTATACCCCAATTCCCCACAAAGCCTCTTTTCATCCAGCGCGCAGGTGTTTTCCAAGGGCGCCTTGACATACTCCGCAAACGTAGCATACCGCCAGTTATCCGCAAAGAGCTTCTTACTTTCCTCACTCGTGCCTTCCATTGCGCCCCAGAATATCCATGTATCAGCGTCGTCGCGGGCGCGGATGAAGGGCTCGAGTAAGACAAGTTGGCCTTCTGAGAGACATGTGGTGTCGGGGCCTGTAGCGGCGATTCTTCCCACGGCTCGTCCACCGGGGATCATGGGGGTGGGGTAGGTGAATCCCGCTTTGCCGGAGAGGATACCGGGGGTTTGATGTTGAAGGAGGTTTGCGAGGATTTTGACGACGACGGAGCCCGGGCCGGGGGTGGGTGTTGGGATCGATTTGGGGATTAGGGGGCCGTTTTTGGTTTCTTGGAGGAGTGCTTTCATTGTTGGGGGGAGGGTGTTGGTGGACATGTTTGGGTATGAGGGATTGTCAACGTCTTGATGAATAAGTGGTTGTTATGGAATACAATTCGAAATGAGATTTGTGTACCCTTTCCTCTATCCTACCTACCAGGCTTTCCTTACTTATACCTGTCCATGACCACATTGGTGTGCACCCTCCATGCCATGTCATCCAACTCGTTCTACTCACCTATCTCCTTCTCGCGCAAAGGCCGTCGACCTTCTCTCGGAGTTTACGCATATTACGCGTTCCATACCTTAATACATTTGCCCCATCCTAGCGATTGAATCATGCTCGCACCACACCTCCGTCGTTGCTACCCAGTCAACCAATCAGACCGCTTCGCGACTGCTGTATACGAACGCGGGTTAGACCCGCTCCTTAGCGCGGAATCCTGTGGACCCTTTCCGCTGACGCAGTATGCAGCACGACCTCATCGCTTACGCCCTGCTGCCACCGGCGATGAAGTAGCTAAACCCCGCGTTCCTTCCGTCTCGTACAGTCTTACACGCATATCTAGGTATATAACGGCGGCATGGACGCTTTATACGAGCGGGGGTTAGACTGCATCTACCCACCTCCAATGCCCTCTCTGTTCGCAGGCTTGATGCATACCTCATAGGCACTTGATTAAGAACGGAACTCAAATCGAATCAACGCTATGCCTGCTCTCGTATCCAAACGCAGCGGTTTGTCAACGGAAAAGGGTGTACGGAAACGCCGCTGGAATGCGAAATCGAGGAGTGGGTGTCAGAATTGCAAGTTGAGACGGGTTAAGGTTAGTTGTCTTGAGTGTATCTATGGTTCAGGCTGGTTGGGCTGATGTTTCTTGGGTAGTGCGATGAGACGAGGCCGCGGTGCGCGAAATGCGTGACTTATGGCGTGGCGTGCGACTTTGAGGGTCAGGAGGGAGAGTTGGACGTGCATGTGGAGGGCGTGGGGACAGTTGATTTTGGGGAGCTATCCACGATTACGCCGCACCATGGGAATAACGGAGCGACTCGCACGCTGTGGAGCCCGATATCGTCCAACGGCGTTGTGACTTCTATGATTGGAGACTCTCTTCGATCTGGGGCGTCGGCGCTGGATCCAAACATGATTACTGGACAGTCATCTTGGGAATTTTCGGAAAGTCATCTTGAGATCCTTGCGAGATTTCAGAGTAGGACGTCTCTGACTGTCGGAGGTATGGTATAGCATTGAACCGTTTTGAGTATGCGGGCTGACTGACGGAATTCGTATAGGCGAGAGAATGGCCCCAGCATGCAGAGACATAGTATGCCGCCTCACGTTCAACGTAACGTCCAACCCATTCTTCCTTTAGCTGTTCAGAACTGACTTGTAGTGTAGCACCCCTTCCTAATGCACATGATCCTTGGCCTAACCCTGATGCACGACTCCGCTCTTGCCCACACTCCCACCCGATCTCTCTCTCTCCAAAACGCATCGCTGCGCCACTGGTCCCACGCCACAACCCAGTACCAGCGTCTCCTCTCCGGTCCCATACCTGCATCCCAACGCGACGCCATCTGGGCCACAGGCGTCCACCTCGGCGCTGCTTCCTTCTGGTATCTTGAGTCCGACGACCCCCACACAGTCTGGCCGCTGAAGCCTTCCGAGCCAGGCGACCTAGCGTGGATGAAGATCGGAGAAGGCAAACGACATCTCTGGCGTATAGCAGATCCTACGAGGGAGGACAGTGTATTCAACCGTGTTTTGAAGAAGAAGACAGGCCCATGTCCCACGCCGCCCGAGTGGATGGTGAGCAACGACACTAGTCTCGTGCCTGAGAAGGTTAGACTGCTGTTTGGTATTACGGAAGAATCCAACAAGGAGAACAACGTCTATCACTTTCCCGTCCTCATCCTTTCGCGGATCCAACATCTGCGCCTGTCCCACACCAACGTCTTGGATTTCCTTTACTTCACCGCGTTTATCACGCCCGAGTTCCTAGCCTTACTTGAACACAAAGATCCCAAAGCCGTGTTTTTGCTAGGCTGGTGGTTCAGCTTGTGTCGCGATGGCACGCTTTGGTGGGTGACGCGTCGTGCGAGGGTCGAAGGAGAGGCTGTGCGGGTTTGGCTGGGGAAGGTGGATAAGCGTCTTTTGGACTTGTTGGAGGAGCTGGGTAGGAGGAGGGTGAATGTGATGGAAGAGATGTTCTGGGCTAGGGATCGGGTTGTGGATGAGGAGGGCTTTGAGACTAATTGGGCGTTGGATTCTAGAGGGAGGATATTGACGGTGGCCTGAGGTCTTCAAGCGTAGAAGTTGGACTCTCTGGTCTCTGAGGTTTGGTAGAGCTTTAGTCATTCCTGTGCATACTACCCCAGAGAGAAATGCACTGAGGGAAGTTGCTTAGTCTGTCGATACTCGAAGCACGTACAATGTGCCGCGTCGCACAGTAATGAGAGGGTTGAATGTGTTTCCATTGCTACTAGCAAGCGCACTCTAAAACTGTACTATTGACAATTCGAAAGACCTTGAAGCCTCTGATGTGGGTTTGGACACTTACAATTTACCACTGGCATCACGATGATATCTCGCCGACGAGCTACATCCAGCTTCCGAAATCCATACCGCGCCTATATAACGAGGTCATCCGGGATGGAAACATGCTCTAACCAGCAAAGACCAATAGACTCTGAATAAAGAATAGAAAAAAAGATCATGAGGTCATCTTGGGGGGATCGTTGGCATAGGAAGAAGTTCAATCCCAGCATTGGTTTCTGTGTTACTTGACGTCTGATCCACCTGATCCATCTCATCTGCGCTTGTCTCTGGAGAGCCCGTAAGATCAGCAAGAGTGTCTGCCGATCGTTTTGCTCGCTCGTTCCACTCCTGCCTTGGCGAGCCGAGTTTCTTTGGGTAGCCACAATCTTTCAGAGGCTTGGAGCACGGTCGCGAGCACCACTCTACCGGCGCAGTGAGTGCGTGCGATATTGTCCTTAAAGTATACTTGAACATAAACCAGGTAGTGATATCGAGCTGGTCGAAAACTTCTTCTAGACTCTCCTGGCCGGTACTGGGCACAAGCCAGTAACAAAGGAACCATGCGATAACGTTCGTGCCTGCAAACAATAAGAGTACGCCGAATTGATCGAGCCTTTTCAGCAGCCATGGGGTTAAGACGGCGAGAAGTCCAGCCCCCAGGAAGTTCCAACACACTGCGAGGCTCATGCCGAGTTCTCTGTTGACGAGGGGAAAGACTTCTGCTGAGATGACGAAAGCTGCTGGACCTTCACCGATGGAATATGCGATCATGAACACGATCAAGAAAATGTAGTGTCCAGCAATGGCTCCAATCCGATCTTCAGCCTTCAAAACTAAAGCAGAGCCTAGCAATGAGATGGCCATGACTGGAAATGACCAGTTCAGCACTCGCCTGCGTCCACCGGACCTGTCGATGAAGAACAGGGCAGGGATTGTAGCTATGAAGTTGAGGAACATCAACCCAAGGGAGGCGCCCAGTAGCTGCATGTTTTGGTCTGGGTTCGTGTGAATGTCGCCCTTGAAGAAGGAGTATCGGAAAAAGGAATCGGCCATGAAAGCTATCAGGTTGATACCGCAAAGTTGTTGCGAGACCATGACAGCGGCGGCAGCTCGGTGCGCTCTATTTGTATACCCTGAGCGAAAGAAGATCAACGTAATTCTTTCTCGCCAGCTGATGTGCTTGATGACGGCATGGAAGGGGTTCTTTGGTGCTTTCGAATGAGAAGTATCGCCAACGCGAAGACTTGCATGTGCGGTCCTATCGACCTCACTGGTCGTGTAGGGCTTACCAACTAATGCTGCCTTCAGCCGGCGCTGCTCATCTATCAGACGCGTGTGCATTAAGAACAGTTCGCCAGCGGCAAGTATGGGAACCACCTCGCCTCGCAGATCGACAAGGGAATTGTAGGCTTCCCTAATGAGCTCTCCCCTGCGAGAATCGTTCTTCGAAAGTTTGCCTTTTTTCGAGTGTTTGCCGTTCTTCGAAAGTTTTCCGATGGCGCCGCTTTCCTTCAACAGCCATCGAGGGGATTCTGCATAAAGGTCAGCTCTCAAGAATGGACGGTTTGAAGTCATAAGAGCCTCTTACCAGGAGAGAAAAGGATCAACGAAAGTAGTATCAATGCAGGGATGAAGGCGGAGATGAACATGTATCGCCAGCTCGAATGCACATTGAGAGAATACACGGCCATGTTTGCGACCGATCCGGCGGCTAGCCCAAAGGCCACGAAAAGCTGCCAGAAAACCAGCAGAAAGCCGCGTATATTTTTGGGCGAGGTTTCAGAAAGCAGAATAGGCACGATTGAGGCCTTGCCTGCCATGCCAGCACCTAAAAGAATCCGGAACCCAAGAAGATGCTCCCATTTGTGGACCGAAGCAGAACCTATCACCGATATAAAGCTGAAAATACCCGCGACGCATATAGCACCTCGACGACCGAAGCGCAGGATTCTGGTGATTGGATCGGTGATGATGAGACCTAGTATTGCACCAGCGAAGAATGGTACCCCGATTGTGATTCCGAGCAGCCAGTCATTGTGGCCAAGACTGACATTGAGATCGCTGTCTGCCCGTCTCGACCGTATCCTGAAGCCGGAACTTTGACCTGCGGTGGTAGGCTTGCCCAAGTTGTTCATGACTTCGATAGCAGCTCCTTCATATTGTTAGTTGAGATGAGGAACCTGCTTCTTTCGACGTATCTTACCAGCCATAGCAGCTTGATCCCACCCCCTGGAGAGACGTCAGTCACTAGTGGTATGCGCTGTGTATCAACACCTACTGGGTCACTGCTGCAAAGATACAGGCCATGATCAAAAGTCGATGCAACCTCGAGATATCTCTCAACGTTTCCCACCTACTCTGGGGCAGGAAAGCCTTGTACAAAATCTGGGTTTCAAGTTTTGTATACTTCTGCTCGCCGATACTCAACTCGATGGGTCTGTGCAGTGCTTTGGGTGTCTTGGAACGGGCATCTCGAACGTCTTCGAATAGATTCGTGATGTCACTTTGGGACCGAAGTGCGATGACACCGCGAATGAACACACCCTGCTCAACTAGTAATCCATATTTCTCGTGGAATCTTTGGGCTTCTTTGTGCGTTACCCCACTCAGTGGGTTATAGATTGAAGGACTGTAAAGCATTATTAGGGACGATCGTGACAAATTGTGAAGGATGTCATACATGGGATTCTCTTCGAGATGAAGCTTCTGTACAGGCGGTAGTGTGACCGGTGGAGTAGCCGTATCCGTAGGTGTGGCCATTGTTGTCGGATACTCACAGATGAAAGAGTGGAGCAGCACGGAAGGAGCAACGATCAGGTGTGGAGGAAACGTAACATGGGTTACACCTGGAAACGGTTCATATGTGTATGCGGCCTCTATCGAAAGCCTGCCAAGGGCCACGGGCAGAAAGAAGGCAACAAGGCGACATGTGCTGCATGCCAGCATGCTTTGCCACGCATGACCGATAGGTACGCAGCGTCGCAACCTGGAAATTTGAGGCGTTCGCACAGGCACTGGTGACGTTGCCAGCGGTTCAGCTATGCGAGAGGGAGGGTCAGTGAGCGCCGCCTGGCTGTTGTACGACATGAAGGCGCGTTAGGTTCGCCTTTACGGCTTAGACAAAAGGTCCTCCATTTCTCACCGGTCAGCCGCCGGTTTGAGGGGCACAGCGACATATACTGCGCGTACAGATACTTCGTGATTGCGAAATAGACTCCCCGGTCACTGAAAAGGATTTGAGTGGGCTTTTTGAACCTGAAGATGGTCGAAGATGATGATGTCGCGATGGAGTGCGAAAGACGCCGCAAGGGAAACGCGGCTCCAAGCGCCGCCCCCAATACCTAGGTACTTAGCGCCCGCCCGGGCTTATGCCAAGCCCAGCCGGGCTTCTTTGACAACCACCGAACCTCCGCTGCGGTGTATGATACTTTTTGCACGCAAAGTGCCAACGAATAAGGCGACGCCCCTTTGAATCAGATTAGGGCCTGCCCACTCTTGTTTTAGGCTAGCGGTTGAAGCCATACTTGGGTTGAAGAGACGTGCCACGTTTTCACGCCGCAAGTTGCAAGCACATACCTAGGTAGTTCCAAGGTTGTCTCTAGTAATCGCGAAATCGCAGTACCTGATTGTATAGGGTGTCATGTGTTGCGGGAAATGTGACACTCGTCGCTCTGCATCATCGCGGTACCATGATGATTACGATATCTCATGATTGCAGCACCGCACCCCGCAAACGATACCCAAGTAGATACTGACATCAGGCTTTTGTTCTTAACTACGTAACGTTGCAATTGACAGACAGCGTCCGCTGTCTACTTCAAATCTCTTCCACGTGATTTTGTCATATTAGTGAAACGGCATCAACCGTTCCAAGGCTTTGCGACAACGACAAGAATAGCTGCATCAGTACTGACCCAGTTCGATATCTGAGTTGCTCTCCGGCCGTTCCATTTTTGTAGTAGGTTTCCTCTTCTCATACCCCCACATTCTCCACTTCCAACAAGCTAGCGTTAGAGCAGTCAGAGGGACTGATATCACGAAATAGAGCCAGAGTTGTTTCGAGAGAACAAGATTGCGAGACTTAGAGTCGAAGTCGAAAAGATTCATGCCAAACATAGTCTGCAAATCTTCAGTACCGGCCAAGATTTACGGGGAATGTGATACGTACGGCAACGAAAGAGAACGGTAGATAAAGTGAAGTGACCAGCGTTACCGCTCTGATGGCGATGGAGTCCTCTCGCGCCGATTTGGCCATACCCATCGTATAATTGTTTTGGCTTTGTGCCAGTTGTTGGAAACCCAGGTTTATTGTGTCCAGCATTGACTGAGCGGTCGACTGAGCTCTTCCGCCCATGTATAGAGCATATCCTCTGTATGATGCAGCGTCCTTGCGGAACTGGGCGAACGCCGCTTTTATGACCTCAGATGTGCCTTCTATTGCTCCGCTCGCCCCAGAAAAGATTCTGTTGGCTTCTTGAAGATCGTCCAAGAGGATTTCGAAGGATGCGAGAATAGGCTCGAGTGGCAGGATGTTCTTCTCAATAGCGCGGGTGTCTTTGAGAGTTTCAAACGTGACGAGCGGCTGTTCGATCGATGTACAGGCCGATTTGATATCCTTCGTATAAGTCAGTAGGGACTTTATTAGGCTGTCATCATCGGTGAGAGCACTCACTAATTGCAAAAGCTTGGCTACGTGGTACTCCAGATAATCACGCCAAGAGCCGAGATGTACAGATATGAGCATCGAATGGATTAGCATGGGATTTGCTAATAGGCTGATTCTGGCCTTCTGTTGTTGTAGCACCTGACTGAGGTGATCTTTGAAGTGGGCGGAGGGGCTTGGGTGTATGATGAACAACACTGATCTCGCCCGCTTCAGCTCGGTAAAGTGGTAAATTCCGGTTTGTCGAATTCGCCACGGATTTCCTTCGCCGACAGCTTTCTTCTCCGAGTATTTGTATACCCAACCGAACTCTAATAGTCATTACGACCTCGAACTCAGATATCGATGAGGGCCAACATACCATAACGGTCATCAGTGAAATGTGACTGCGCCGCGCTCGAGAATTCCTCTTCAGTCGGCATGTATCGATCTTTGAAGCATGCTAATATCTGAAGGAAGCCGGGGCTGAGGTGGTAACGGTGCATGATGAGAGATATCATGTCGCTGCTGATGCTGAGAGGCGCCCATGTATTCTTCTGGTGAACTGTGCTAATACCCCATCAGCCTAAAGCTAGAATTACTTCAGATTCACTTACTATATTTCCAAACTACTATTTTGTCCATCTGTATCATTCACATGATTGTCAAGGTAAGCCGACAGTTGCAAAGAGCTACTAAAGCTGTGGGTTGATAAATCATGCGACGCATCACATGTGAAGCGAGTTAGCTCGAGCAAGTGACTATCCGTATGCTTCGAGAATAACTGCTTGCAGCCCAAGATGCCAGCCTGTATCTGTGGCTTTGATAGAGCGAGAGTGTGGGGCTCATGCGCGTCCCTGTCGTCCTGCTGGGAACTAAGAAACATTTGGAAGGGGTAGATTGAAAGGCGAGATGAAAGGGTGTGGAGTGGGATACGTCGTATGTGTTATAAACTATGTATTCGGTCATAACCTGTTCAAAACACGGGATGGCCGTGTTCCATCCTGCGGGAGCCCCGCATTGCCTGAGCAGGCCGACAGAGAGGGCGCCTCAGCCTTTCGCAGCACTAAAGATGCGTCCTGTCAGCGTTCACCGGTCACGGAGACAATGGATGGGCTGTGTTACCTCAAGTCCTCCTAAAGGTGTCAGCATGAAGTGATGAGCGATTCTTTAGACTTACTGCAGTCAATTGCTCAGGAGCCTCAAATGTGATGCATTCTCCAACTTTTTGAATCCTGAAATTGGTCTTGTCACCGAATTTCTTTTTGAGAAATTCATGTAGCTTGTCGCGGCTGTAGTAACGGTGGGGGGCTTGATGCTTTATCATTGCTTGGTAGTGGCTAAGCTGAAACGAGGCAGCATTGCAACTGCCTACCGCTGAAAGACTCTTATAGCCTACTGTGATTTGGACAAGGCTGAAGTAAGATCGACTCGGTCTCGATCACGCCGAGGTATGTCTGCGCTGGCGCATTCCCATAGGTCTGCTCATAATCTAAACACCGTTGTGATGTTGTCACAAGGCTAGCATACGGCTGGGCAGGCGGGTCTACGATGGTGGAAGAATATAGGCGGTGTTTTGCCTGTTGCGACGGCACGTTCCTGCGGGTACAAGTGGCGAGCCTGGCGACGCGCGGCGTCCGCCCGGGGGTCCGCGCCATGTAGCTCCTTGGCAGCCCCCAGATATGACCTCGGGAGGCCGGCTCCATGGGCGAGGATGCCTACTACCCAGAAGTGTTCTGCTGCATCTCTGCCCCACACTTCTGCCACTGAGTTCCACATCTTACCCCAACCTCGCTATCAGTGGCTCCCGCCCAGCAACAGGCTAACGAGCTTCGTGTGGTCTCTCCTTGCACTTCAGGGACGATCGCGCATTTCGGTTCTACCAAGCGCATCTACCCATCTCGCATCTCGGCGCGTGTCCCGTCGCGTATCTCGTCCCGTGTCTCGTCACGTGCCACGATCGGATAAACCTTGATACACAAGTGGGTGGTCGACCTTATGGGCACCCAAATCCAATGAGCGGCAGGCCCAGTTTCTCAACCTTGCGGACCAGCGTGTCTTCGAAACGCAGATCTCAGTTAGAAGAGCTGTCCCAAGAATTGCAGGACGCTGTCGAATATACTACCAAGGACGTTGAAGAAGACGAAGCGCAACGCCGCGGCTTCTTGCCAAAGGCTGACCTCGATCGGATACTCAACCCTAGGTCGTTAGAGCTGTTGTTCATAGAGTCGGTTTCTGAAACTCCTTCCTTCGGAGGCGGCGTTCTCCTACCATCTAGCACCAGCGGTATCGCGAATGAAGAGGAGACCTCAGATCCTTCACGTGAAGACACCTTTATCAGAAATTGCATTGACGCGACGACGCGCACACCACTGGATACACCATCGTGGAGGGCTCTTCTTGCTTTGTTCTTGTACCAAAACTCCAAGGAACTGCTCTCGTTGTTTCTGCAATGGATGTTCGCTGAATTCGGCTGCTCTACAGCCATGTCTGACAATCCCATCCCCTCTGATGAGTCGATACCATTCACGAAGGCTACGCTGAGAGATTATCATGTTCCAACCTGGTGCCACAGAGTCATACTTCTGGATCAAGCAATGTTCAAACCGGTCATGATTCAGAAGCTGGAGCATCACGACATTACCACCAGCAAACGCTTACCTTTCATGGGCATGTATGAACCAATCAAAAGTGGCTCTCAAGGCCAGGTCTTCAAAGCTGAAATAGCACAATTTCACTGGGAAATTCGAGAAAATGAGGACCAGGAAGACTCCGATTTTGTCACCGGTAATCCGAAAGACACAAAACTCGTGGCTCTCAAAGTCTTCAGGGCGGTAGAATCTGTGCGCGATATGCCCGAAGCCACCAAGGACTTTGAAATCGAGCTCGACATCTTGAAAGAACTGAGAAGATACAACACCAAGCATGACATGATCATGCTACATTTAGGTAGTATAACCGAACTCGATGGGGCAGGAAAGCCCACTCGACACTCTCTTATCTTCGAACTGGCGAACTTCAGTCTGGGTGATCTCCTCAAAGGTGAAAAGCGTGCCCGGGAAGACATCGCACCCTCTCGCCAGCTCGCCAGCCTAGTTGACATCGTTGAAGCGTTAGAATGCTTGCATAATCAGCTCAAAACTTTACATCTTGACATAAAACCTGACAATATCTTGATCTTCGAGACCTGTTCCGGTTCTGGGTCCAAAAGGCAGCACAAGCTTACTTGGAAGCTCAGCGACTTTGGTCTGGCTCGCAAGAGAGATGCAAAGCAACAGAGGGCAGGATCTGCACAAACCTCTACAGCTACATCGCGAACATCTACTCAGCCTGCAACGAGACCGACAGGTTTATATCAGGCTCCAGAAATCCAGGACGAAAGGACAAGTCTGGCAGGTCAGGATAGTGATGTCTGGTCTATAGGCTGCATCACACTAATGGTACTGGCGTTCATTGCCGATGGGTCAACGGCAGTCAATGCGTTGGAGACATTCTTAATGGTCGACTTCTCCGACGGCTCTGGTAGAGAGCCATTTTTCTACGTAAGGAGCGACTCATACCAATGGGAATACCGGAATATGGATATCTGCTGTTATCTACCGGAGCAGGCGCAGGCCTCGAACGTCAATATCATTCCAGGACCAGGAAGACGACATAGCGCTGCTCTTCATCCTTTTCTCATAAGTTGGTCCAACACACTACTCAAGGCAAGGTACAACCATGAAGTTACGCAACGATACGTTCTAGACATACTGAAGGTCATCTTTGGACGGGTTCTTCGCGTCAATCGGAACGAGAGGATAAGAGCGACCGAGCTGCGCAACAAACTTGCCACCATTCAGCGAGATTGGAGCTCGTATGACCTCGCGCCTACAACGTACGAATATCGCGACATCTCACAAGAACTGTGTATTTCACAGAATTGTCGCGCGCGAGGACACGGACCGAGCCGCCTAGGACAATCTGGCGAGCCCTTCCCGTTACAAGAGCCCGACGCTCGCCACAGTATCTCAGAAACAACCATTCCTCCGACGACTGTCGCCGATTCACAAGCCACTCGTCAAGATACCCAAAACAATCTTCTGCGCCCACCACATCCGAGCGAGCACTCTATGCAAGCCGAGTGGATTCAAATGCAAGACACGACAGCGCCAACACAAGACCCAATAACGGCAATACCACAAGACCAGGTCCAAGCTCAGACTGGAAAGGCGGCAGCTATGGAAATGGAAGCGACAGAAGATCAGAAAGCCCTCACGCCGGGGCAGAAAGTTCGTATGCAAGAAAATCTTCGCTCAGCAATTGAGCGAGACGATGCTGCTAGCGTTGAAGGCCTGCTCAGAGGAAACCCAGAGATGTTACGCCAGCTATTGCCTGACCAAGGGAGATACCCAATTCATTGGGCTCTGTTTAATGGCGCCTATGAAGCTCTCGATGCGCTTTTCGAGAAGGCGTCACTTGAGATCACCAAGCTGGAGTGGAACGGACGCACTGCGCTCGATCTCGCATTGGATTCGGGAAGGCCCGCAGCGCTCGATTGCATCCGAAAACATCGCCTCAAGTTCGACTTCCCGCTTCCGCTTTACGAGAAGCGCAAGAAAAAGCTTGGGCGGGAAGCTAAAGAAATCGCGGACGACTTGTTTGGTATCGGTAATAAGCAAAAGCGCTCTTTTCCATGGCGTAAAAGCCAAACGTCTAATCCGTCTGCATAACTTTGCGACAGGAAAAAGACTCCAACAATTTCAGCAATCCACAAGACGCAGGGTATTACGCTGTTAGTTTCTGGGAAGGCATAGCACACGATCCACTACATCAGCGGTGATAATCCTCCGTGTACGCGGGAGCTCTATTCCAGGGACCGCTGAAGTATTACAATAGCTAGATTGCGACACGAGCCTTATGGCGTTGGAGGGATCTGGTTACAAGCCAAAAAAGACACTGCTTTCTTGCTTCAACGCGCTGGTGTTGGCAACGCTGCATGGGCAAAAAGAAGGCAAAAACATACAACAGCGGGTGGTCCCCGGTGGTCACCCACCCGAGTACTAATCCGCCGGTATCTTGCTTAAGTACCGCTGAGCGAACGGGAAGCGCTGATTTCAAGATCCTATGGTCGTATGTGAAAGAATTGGTTGGTGGTGGTCATTATAAAGGCAATTTTGCGGGAAAGGTGTAGGAAAACGAGACTGGATTCGAGAGCTTCGTCTCCGCACCGCGGACTCCATCAGAGTCTATGCATTTGATATTACGCTTTCGGTGGACACTGTTAGAGGGAGTTACCAGCTTTCGGCTGCTTTGATATACCCATATCCTCTTCTCGGATCTATAGTCTTCTTAACGAGATTGGGCGCTAGTCCCTGCTGCAATCACACCGCTCTTGCCTACTGCAACTTTGCTAGGTCTAGTGGGTGACACGGTGTAGGAAGATTGGTAGATTCGGTTGCTTCTGTTATACCCATTTCCCGTTTATGATACATAGTCTTCTTGAAGTCAATGTCCTTCTTCCAACTACTTCTGCAACACCGGCCATCCCTTGACATACTTGATCGGATTCCATCCCAGAAACTTGAAGTTGTCTCGGTACAGCGGGTCGAATGTCGTGTTAACGTAATGGTAGTATAGCACATCGCTTCCGCGGTAGTCGGAAATCACCGCCTGTCCACCGGGTGCGTACGTGTTGCCGTGGCTACCGTAGACCATGCTTCCGCCACCTTCAGCTAGATCCTTTCCATTGCGGTCCACGAAAGGTCCGCGGGGCGACTTTGAGCGGCCGACAAATATGGTGTACTCAGCTCCAGGCGGAGGCAGCGCAGCAGGGTTGTAGCCGCAGCACAGGCCCGCAGAGTACCAGAGGTAGTAGAAGCCCTGCTCTTTGTTGTAGTTGATATATGGGGCCTCTTCGGCGGATGCGCCGCCCCAGGAAAGAGACATGTTCGCGTACGCCTGCTCCTTGGTCGGTAGCGCAGGATCGTAGGTATAGCTCAGCTGACGGGCAGTGGGGATCTTGACGGATTTGAGGTCCTTGGTCAACTCGAACTGCCAGAGGTTGGCCCACCAGGAGCCGTAGGAGAGGTAGCTTTTGCCGGTCTTGGCGTCTTGGATGAAAGCCGCGTCGATGGTGTTGGTCTTGCTCAGCGGGAAGGGAGCGTCGGTGCTGTTGGAAGACACGACCATGCCGTGGTCAGTCCAGGACCCGTTTTGTAACGTCTTCGAGGTAGCAAGCCCAATGAATGACTCTGAGACGCCGAAGTCGGAGACGGTATAGTAGCAGTAATATGTATCACCGACCTTGTGAACATCTGGGGCCCTGCATTATAATGTTAGTATACAGTTCCTTGTGGTTTTTGCAAAGTAGCTGCCTCTTACCAAAGACGGTTTGCCTGAGCGGGATCATCAATGCTGCCAGGCGGCTGCAGAACTTGAGCGACAACCTCCCAGTACCCTTCCAGACTGTTCTTCTTCGAAGCACGGGAGGTGGTTGCTAAGCCATGAGAGGAGAATGAGTAGTAGTGGCCGTCTGGTCCGAGCACAATACTTGGGTCGTGGATGTGGACACCACCAAGCGTACCGTTCAAGTCCTGACCTGTGATCTTGCGAGGCGCGGGCCAGTATTCCCTGGAGTAGGGGTCTTTGACTGGTTTGGGCGAGTTGTAAGATGGCGAAGGGGCGGCGAAGGCCGGGGTGAAGAGGGATGAGAACCCTAAGGCGAGAGCCGTGAGGCTGGCTTTAGTGGAGGACATCCTGGGTAGAAAGCGAGCTGGTGCGGAGATAGACCTCGGTGATGGTCGGAAAACCTCCTTGTCTTATATAGCATACCGCCATCCGTCTATGATGCGGATCTGTCTCTCGCGCCTGGGCAGATCTTGTGTGCCATGTGTGAGCGAATGGCGTCTCATGCTGCCCTTACAGCGAAACCCTTGTCGCGAACCACGATCCGTCCGGTCGGGTAGTCTGAGATGGGTAACAGTTCCTGGAAAGGGAAGGCAAAGAACCACTCTCCGCAAGTGACGTTGCAAAGGTGGAGATGGAGCCTTGGGGTAGGAAGTTTACGGGAGGCGGAGGATTTCGTTCGCTCGAATCAACGGCCAGCAAAACCTGCTAGTGGGGCCTAAAGTTGGCGACCTCTCGTCGTCTTTAGACCCTAACATTTGGGGAGCGCAGGCGAGGACGAAATGCGCAATAATGGCAGTAAGATTTGCGACTGAGAGTCGAGATGTTGTGGGGAACGGGAGACAGGCTGGTCGCTACCTAGGTAGTCTTCTGTAGCCACGAGGACCTCGGGACCTTGCCTTTCCAATCTCCCCATCTGATATCTTCAGGCCGAAAGCGAGTTCGAGTACGGGCAGCGATGCATGCAACGAAGCCTTGAATTACGATCGAAATTAACGGGAGGATAACTTGTAGCAATTTCAATGACTCTCCAATGGTTTTCACGTCTTTTGAGATGCAGAGCGGATGGACCGTGTGGCGGGCACGGTCCTTCCACTAGCGGGGTTCGTAGATCGATGCCAGCATGAGTCTGGCCGTGGCTGATCGATTCGCAGTCTCATCACTCTACCATCACAAATCACCTCACGGGCATCGCATCGTTGCGACCACTCGATTCGTAAAAGCCAGATATATCAGTTCACAGAAAGTTCAGAAATGGCTTTCGACCCTTCCAAGGTTCCGTCAGGTCGACCTAGGCAGGCAACGAGCACGAGTAGGTGGCCTCAGCCGAGTCCACCTACTCAGCCTTGAGGCCCACCTACTTAGATACTCAGCCTTAAAGACATGCATTGCGCCCCTCGTGGGGCTGCACCAGTATAAAGCCTAATTGCAACATCAGAGCCAGCATCTGTCATGCTCCAAAATTATCTGTCGACTCGCCATTTGCATCTTGCGAGACTTTGACATTAGAAGCAGCATTCAGCATGATCGATATCGCTTTCCCAAAACTGCGCGATGACTGGAGCCTCGACGTCGTCAACATCCTAGCCTTCCTAGGCGAGCATAACATCGAAGCTTGCAGCCAGCAGATCTGCATGTCGTGGACGTGCTTCCTACCACGACTGATACCCGCGCCTCAGGGTCTCCTTGCGCGACGACCAAGGAAACTTGAATCCGAAGAGGATACACCGGTGATAGGGACTCATACAGGCGTTACCAGGCCTGCCTTACACTATTTCGGTCGAATGTTATACACGGATTGGCCTGAGCTACCACCATTCACGACACGTGTAGTGAAGATACGGTGGGATCCCGAGAACGAAGATAGAAGCCTCAGAAGACGTCCACTTCGGCCAAGATTGTTCGCGCCAATGAACACGATCGCTATCTTCAGCTGCGCATTGAGCTTCGGACTGGCAGCATGGGCTCTTGTGCTTGGGGATGCAGTCGCACTTACTGGTATCCTGGTCATGAGTTTTACGACACCTCTACTCTGTGTCGGGATGCGTTGGACGCCATGGATTCTGCCTGTTATGCCGAAAAGTGCTGAATCGCCACCAGGTACGGTTGTCATCAAATCTCCAAACGGATCCTTCACGGTTGTGGAATGCGACGAGCAGATCGGGCGTCTTCTTTACTTCCATCCTGATACCATCGACTATGCGGTCAGCTCCTTCACGGGGCGCGGCTTGAGCGGGACCGTAGGTGGGCTTACACTTGTGGGCTCCATTGTACTATTCGGAAATGCCGTATGGACAATGAAAGCAGCACTTGCTGTCACATATACGGTCTTGAATATTTTATATTGGATCGCCGCAATTCTTCCGCTCCGCTTGTCGTGGCACATCAATCTGGAATTAGATCCACCACAAACCACTAAACATGAATGTTGGACACAATGCCTTTGGACAACCATCTACACTACACAGAAGATTGACTGGGCAAGGGAATGGGTGCCAAGGACTGATGTGTGGGACCAGTGGCTGGAAGAAGCACAGCACATGAGTGAATGCGTGCAACGACCCGAAGACTGGGATGCGCTGGGAGCTATGATGAACCTTAAGGAAAGGCCAAAGATTCAGCAGGAAGACTAGCTAGACATACAGTGGTCTGTGGAAGAATGAGGGGGGTAATTCGGGAAATTGCAATATTGCTACGCGGGTAGAAGAGAATGAGCCTCGCGGTTACTTACTCTTCGCTACAACCCAAGAGCTTTTGAGACCATAGCTAGCCCACGCTGATATGCTTTTGCAGGCAAGGGAGCTAGACAAACATCGAGCTGTTCACTAACGCGGCTAGTATAGGCCAAACCAAGATCCAGGCAATGCTCACGTGCGACACCGGAATGGACAGTCGTATGATCAGCAATGTCCATATCTATCTATCTCGTATCAAAATCCGGAGCGGGCCTTCGTCGGCCGATTACAACACCCCGTCATCGCTTGAGCCCTGCCAAGACACGATCCAAGATACTGTACGATCAAACGTCGCAGCTGCTAAGTATCAAGAGTTGAGTCTATGACTGGTTCCATTAGTCAGTTGTGTGCGCTCCCAATTATGGAACTGATGTTTAGCGGGTCACGATACCCGGGTACCTATCTTCAGGATGGCAAGGTTTTCGAGCTATGAAGGATCTACTGGAGGCTGGGCGGAGCTTGTCAGCATCCAGATTGCGGAGATCGGAGATTAGTATAACTACGTGCCAGCTCCCTTAAGTTTTCACGATCTTCGTTGTGAGTTGAATATCGGCGGTCAAAAACGTTCGTCACAATGGTAAACCCTACCTCAGTGCTCGTCGCAGCGTCCTTGCTTATCAACCCTCTCGCCGCGGCTTCGAGTGGAAACAACGAGTGTGATGCCGAATACTCTCCCAAGTAATGCTACACCTGAAGTTGCTGCAACCCACCATACTCATCTCCCACAGCGACGCGGTGTCAACCTCATACACCAACATGACCTCCATCCTCGACAAAATCCAAGCGCGCGGCTACCTCAAAGTCGGCACAACGGGAGACTACAAGCCCTTCTCCTACAAAGTAACAAACCAAACCGGACTGCCTGCCACACCAACCATCAACACGACCTACATCGGCGCCGATATCGACTTAGCGCAGTCGCTTTCCAACTCGCTCGGCCTTCCACGTCCAGTTGAGTTTGTTCCTACCATCTGGGCGAACATCACCACGGACCTCGTAGCGCAGAAGTTCGATGTCGCCATGAGTGGCGTTAGCATCACCTTGGCTCGTGCACAGAAGGTCTTCTTCTCTACTGCGATTCAACGCGTTGGCAAGGCAGCCTGCGTGCGATGCGCAGATCTAGGAAGGTTCTCGTCTTTGGGGGCTATTGATACTGCGGGTGTCAAAGTTGCGGTCAATCCGGGTGGCACGAACGAAGCATTTGATCGCGCGAATTTGAAGGCCGCTACTATCGTTCTGGTGCAGGACAACAATGCTGTCTATAAAGCTGTTATGGATGGTGATGCCGACGCGATGATTAGCGATATCATCGAGGTCGAATTGCAGGTTCGGCTGCATCCTGATGTGCTATGCATCGTCAACCCCAATGCGACTTTTACGTTTGAAGAGCTGGGTTATATGGTTGGACGGGATGTTGTGTGGAAACAGTATCTGGATATGTTTGTGCACATTCAGCTTGGGAGTGGTGGATGGAATCGTACGCTGGAGAAATGGATGTCGTATAAATGGCCTTCGGTATAGATAGGAGTGAAGAAACAGCTGTCGATGGAGAACATACATGTAGCTCTCAAGCACGAAGGCCAGAAATGTAAGGTTGTTAGCTATACCAGGCGCACTAGGAAGCGCGTGGTAAAGCCAGAAACGTCATATTCGATATTGAATGCTCATAGTGATGGATGCATTTGCGTAAGCACTAGAACCACCCGTGCTTACTGCGTACTGCCTGTAACATCACTCATTGGTCTGTCAAAACGCCTCTCAGTATCTTTACGCCACAGCAGACGCCTTTTGGCGATGGCGGCGATGACGCACATCTGTGTCTGATCTGGCCAACGAAATCTCCTTCTTCACATCACAACCCTTATTCGACTATAGCCGTCCTTTGGAGAGCGGTTGCGAATGGCTACCCAACAAACGCAGGAAGCTGCGCGGGATGACCCAAACCCCTTGCTCTGGCATATAGCCGTCAACAAAGACAGCAACTCGACCATTCTGTTCATACACGGCGCTTTCGTAGACGCCCACGACTGGGAACTGGTGGTACCCTACATCCAAGACTACCATCTTCTTCTCCCAGACTGCCCTGGACACGGTAACTCGTCGCACATACCGTTCTCTATCGAGACATCCGCAGAGCACATCACGCGTCTGATAGAGGCACAAGCTATCGGCGGTCGAGCCCACGTTGTTGGCCACAGTCTCGGTGCCTCGATCGCAGTCTGCCTTGCTGCGAACTACCCTCATGTCGTCGAATCGATATTTATCTCTGGATACAGCGAAGCGCCTGTCTCCAAAGCTCCGCTGCTACCTTACCTGCTCTGGGCCTCCAGTCGCATGGAAAACGCTGTCCCCCGACCTTGGATTCGCTGGCTCATGGATGGTACAGATCTCCGCCGCACAAATAGTCCTTCGCTATCGCTTTGCACACAGATCGCGCATACCGACAGCGCAGCGGCGCGACTGCACCCATGGTCTGCACGAACCCTGATCATTGTCGCTGGGAAGGGTGGGCTGGTTCCATCTAGCGATAGCCCGGAGGCTGCTCGCAAACTCGTCAAGATTGGAAAAGAGAACAACACTTTGACTCTTGCTTATACGCATCCGAATATGAGGCATCCTTGGAACAGGCAAAACCCTGGTCTTTGGGCGGAGACTGTTGTAGCCTGGGTTGAGGGGAAGGAGCTTCCAGCTGGGTTTGTGCCACTATAGGCACTTGACGGGAAGACACGTGATACTTCTGAGCGATGATTCACTGCCCAGGTGATTGGGGAAGGTACATCATGTGGATGCGTAAGAAGAAGGCACGACCTCGGTCGCTAGCTCACGTGACAGAATGCATCTCAGTTGACAGTCATCGGTACCAGAGTGCACTATCATCGAGATCACCTCGATCTGTTGCTACCGACGGAACGGAGATGAGAGGTATAATCCAGAGCGCTATACCCAGGTAGTGAAGGAGCGATACTGGCGGGCGTATGAAATTGCACGTGAGATTGCACCAACATGGGCAGATGATTAGGCCCCCGAACCTGCATGGGAAAGATAGCAGGAAAACGAACCGACAATGAAAGCAGTGAAGACGTCTCTTCGTGAGGTTTGCACTTGGCTGTAGTGTGGCGCGTAACCGTGGTGGCTGTTGTGTAGGTGGTCTCACTGTGCAGATGACGAGGGCGCCTGGCCACGGCTGATGTGACGGCTGGCGGGTGCTGGGGCTAGTGATCGGCTTAATCACGCAGCTCTCGCGGTCTCGAAGCCTTCAAAGTTTCTAGACCGCGCAACTACCAGACGCCGATCGCATAGCACAAACACAAAGACAGAAGGTGTAGAATAGCTCCTCTTCTGACTGCAGCACGTTTGTCTCCTTTCAAAGGGGTACCGTCATCACAACAAAGACAGATGCAGACTGTTGAACTACAACAAAAGTATTTCGGGCCTACAGTATACGAGGGAACGTCATCCCTCGATGCAGCACTTGGTCTCTTTGGGCAGCTGCAGTGTTCAAATTCTCACCTAGTGGCCGAGCGTCTATTTTTACCACCCTGGGGTGTTGCACAGCCACGCTGGCGCCGTCCATGGGGTCTTCGGCGGAGGCTACCAAAGTGAATTTGATGATGATGAACTCCTATGATTTTGTGTGCACAAGAGATGATGATGGCGAGATAAGCTCTTTGTGCACGGCTTGAAGCTTCAGGCAGTTCTGCGACTCCGCATCGATGACACGATGGTTGACTTGGCGACGGCAACGGTCTCGAGCGGACCGGGGTAGTTTGATAGGCCCGCCTTGCACGGCAGCAGTCTTCAGCTGCCAGTATACGACAGTAGTGGTGTACTGGCGTGTGAGGGCAGCGTGTCTCGCAGTAGCAGCAGATAGTGATGACCTAGCGATAAAAAGCATTCCTTCCCCAGCTCGCGCAAGAGTCCCTGACAGCTCCCCAACGTCAACCCCATCTGCATCCCATCGTGTTCTCGAACGCGGCCCAACAACCATCATCCTTCGATAGCGTCGGATCCAGCGACTGCGCCATCGCGGGATTAATCGAGGCTAGCGCCGCGCGTCCCTTCCTGATTGGAGTGAACCCCCTTGGCTGTCGCCGCACGGTTTCAGAAGAGAGGCAGATTACCGGCTTCAGCGCCTCGTCCTCATTTCAACCACATCGCTCCCTCGTTCGTCAGTCGTTTCACTTTTGCGTCCCTCGTACCTGCCGACTCGACCCCAAACCCTCTTCCTGGCCCGCCGCTCCCTCGACGCGCCTTCCCTCTGGACGCTTGCCTTTGTTTACCGCTTTCCATCAGGCACGAGAAAGGTTGAACCTGCGGCCGACCCCCGTTTAATCTACTGCTTGTTTCTTTTGCAACACTCGCTTTTGTCAGCAAGCACCCGCGCATACCAACGTCGCCCGACCCTTCGCTGCTGCGACCGTCGCTCGCTGTCGACACCCGCACCTCGAGAACGCCCCCGGGCGCACAACACCGATAATGAGGCCCCACGCGACATACTCGGCCATGCTCGCACCTTTTATATTACTGGCATCGGCGCCACTGAGCGTACTGGCTGCCGACATTCTCAAGACCAACGGTTTCAGCTCCTGTCTGGAAGGCACAGGAGACATCAAGGTCAACAAGCTGAACATCGAGTTCGACCGCTCCATCAAGAAGGTCAAATTCGATGTGTCCGGCACCAACGAGGTTGAGCAGAAGGTCATGGCAATCCTTACCGTAAACGCATACGGCAGAGAATTGTATAACAAAGAGTTCGACCCTTGCGATGGCGAATACAAGGTCGACCAGCTATGTCCAGGTACGCACATGGCGACGATATGCGCATAATGTACAAGCTAACATGTAGCAGTTCCCAAGGGTACTTTCGGTGCACAGGGAGAGCAGAGCATCCCCGACAGCATCATGTCCCAAATCCCCAGCATCGCCTTCAACATTCCCGACATCGACAGTCAAGCCAGGATGCAGCTCAAGGCCAAAGACGGAGGCAAGGACCTGGCCTGTATTACCTCTCAAGTCAGCAACGGACAATCACTTTCCACCGCAGGAGTACAATACATCGCCGCTGGAATTGCTGGAGCTGCCTTAGCTGTTACTGGTCTGGCTTCGCTCGCTGGCGCTGGACACCCTGGTGCGGCGCAATCCAGTCCTACCTTCGGCGATGTCATCGGATGGTTCCAGGCCATGGCTTTGAACGGCATGATGAGCGCTGACGTCCCTGGTGTATACCGCAGCTGGTCCCAGAACTTTGCCTTTAGCACCGGTCTCATCTACTGGGAGGGAATGCAGCACTCCATTGACAACTTCCGTAAGAGCACCGGCGGCAACCTCACCCAGAGCAGTGTCGAATTTCTCAAGAACGCTACCCTCGTACACGTGGACCAGAACATGACCTTGACCAAGCGCAGCTTTGACGTCCTGTTCGCTCGCGATGAATTGAACACGAACGTCAACGATACTGCCGAAGAGGGAGGTGACAACAAGGTCATTGTCTACGCCAAGGACATGCAGGGCTTCATCCAGGAGTACACCATCCCCGATCGTAACGCCTTCATGACAGTACTACTCATCTTCGCCATCATTATCGCTGCCATCACCGTTGGTATCCTCCTTTTCAAGGTCATTCTGGAGACATGGGCACTGTTCGGCAGCTTCCCGAAGAAACTGACTAGCTTCCGCAAGCGATACTGGTGGACTCTGGCCAAGACGATTACCAACTTGATCCTCCTGCTTTACGGTATCTGGGTTCTCTACTGTGTCTACCAATTCAAGAACGGAGACTCGTGGGCTGTCAAGACACTTGCTGGTGTTACTCTGGCCGCATTTACCGGAGTTCTGGCTTTCTTTACCTGGAAAATTTGGAGCACCGCAGACAAGTTCAAGAAGATGGAAGGAAAGCCTGACGCTCTCTACGAAGACAAGGAGATCTGGCGCAAGTACAGCATGTTCTACGAGAACTACAAGAAGAGCTACTGGTGGATCTTCGTACCGGCCATCATCTTCATGTTCGCTCGTGGTTGCGTTATCGCAGGAGCAGATGGCCACGGTCTCGCACAGGCTGCTGGTCAACTCATCGTCGAGTCACTTCTCCTTGTCATGCTTCTCTGGGCTCGTCCGTACACGCTCAAGTCTAGCACCTGGATCAACATCACCATCTCGGTCGTTCGCGTCTTGTCGGTCGTCTGCATTTTGGTCTTCGTCGAAGAACTTGGCATGAGCCAGACAACCAAGACCGTCACCGGTCTGGTCCTTGTCGTTGTGCAGGCTTCCCTCACTGGTGTTCTTGCTATCCTCATTGCAGTCAACGCGATCATCATCTGCTGCAAGGAGAACCCTCACCGTAAGAAGAGAAAGGCAGCTGGTAAGTCTTCTCCACCCCCTGCTTGCCAATACCCTCTAACAGCCCCTGCAGAGAAAGCTCGTGACCTCGACACCCTTACTCCTCTCGACGCACGCAACTCGCTACTCATGGATCCCCAAGAGTACAAGCGAACCTCGCTTCCATCGCCGTTCGGTCCCCGCACCGCCGGCTACGACCGCGTTCCTCTCGCGGATCAGAACACCGCATACAACGGTCCCGGTGGTCGTTCATTCGGAGACGATCAAGGACACTTGCTCGCCGATGCATCCACATTCGGTCGCACAGCAACGCATGAGCGGAACTTGAGTCGCGAAAGCAGTCCAGGGCGCGATGCGGATGTTGGCTTCCACCAACCACCCGGCTACGTGGCCAACGCGCCATGGCAGCCTCAACAACCACGAGGCCCCCCTGGCCCATATGCCTACTAAGCCAACAACCTTTTGAGTCATCCAAGAGCGAAGACCTAAAGAAGCGAAACATCTCGCCATCTAGGCATAATTTCCTATTTGTTTTGTTCCTATGTCTGCATCGCGGTGGTCGCATTTGACAAACCATAGAGCGGTCAAACCATATCCTCAGTCATCTATCTCCCGCACACGGACCGGGCCATACCTGCGCTCCACGTCTGTGTATTTACGAATCTTTCCTTGTGTTCATCGAGTTTTTTTGTGTAAAGAAAGATCTGATACAAGCTCTTGTAATCTCATGCAAAGCGGTAAGCCTGGGGCTCGCGCACACATACCACTATCTTTTCTGCTATATCGTCAAGGTGGAGTGAAGGAGAAGAAGGTTGGAAAAGGGATGGAGTGAGGGGAGTTGGATATGGAATGGGAACGGCAATGTGAACTAGGATGTAGCGAAAGATGTAAATACCAATACCCAACTGTTATATCGCTGTTTCATGTACTTCTCCGTGGTTGTGGGTGATGCCTGCCCAGAGAATGCCATGTCTTGAGATCTTACTACACGCAGCTCGGCGGCACCTGGCCTAGAATCGTCCAGAGCACGTGCGATCTTAACTTCCGCCGATAAGCCCTGCAGGCAGAGAGCTACCCAGCCGGCCAGCTGAACACTCGCTGCAGCCCCAAAATGTTGGGACACACTTCGCATGCGCCACCCCTGAGCCAATACATCCTAGCGACGTACCTTGCCCGGGCTGCGACGTGTAGCATCTGAACGAAGAGAACGACGGAAAACTCTCGACAGCCCGACGCAGATTTGTACCTGCCGATCCCTCAGATCGCTCGATGTAAATCCTTATTCCATCACCCTCGTCCCACCTAAAAACCACGCTTTTCCCGCCGAACGCCTCCGGCAAAGTCGATCTCCCGAGAATTTACTTTGGGTCGTG